GTGGACAAACTGGCATACACATACAACCCAAAATAACTTTTATGTTATAATTGGCTAAAAGTAAAACTAAACAAGAAACAGATAGAATTATTTTTTCAACTATCCTCTTTGCCTTTAATTATCCTCTTTGCAAGGTAGAGTAATTTGTTAAGTGCAATGAACAACAGATTGGTTTTATTATTTTATTTCAATTTATTTCTATTGGTTCTTATTGTTTTTTGCACCATCTTCTATTGGTTGTTTAAGCATTTATAACTATTTATATAAAAATGAGGACAAGAAATTTTACATATCACTTCAGGGTACAATATTTTCTTATAGTGCATCAATATATATGAAAACTTTGTCACTTATATATCTAAATCACAAAAATTTTAAAAAAATAAAGCACATCTAAACAAGAAGTAGTTGTGCATCTTGTTTTTAGGAGTTCTCTTGTAATATTATTTAAAATGAAAAATCCCAGTATTGATCCTATTCCATGCCGACATGCTGAAGTGCGCCTTGCAAACACATTATACCTTCTACAGAATACTTTTATGATCATGATTTTATAATGCAAACAAGTTTAATGATTTTATTTTATTCAACTTTGATGAAGTTATTTCTATTCAAATTTATTTCTTTATTCACTGATAATGTGAACTAGAATGTTGGTAAGAGTCATTTAACTACTGTTCAAAAAATGTTATGTTATAAAACCAACACTTTTTTTGTTTATATTAATTTTTTAAAGTTCCCTTTAGTTTGCAAATGTTAACAAAAGCAAAATAACAATGCATAAGCTTTTTAATATATAATATACAAAATTCAATTTTTTTTTTTTTTATATATAATATATCATTGAACACTGTTTTTGTAAAATGTAATATAATTTTGTAAATAATTTCGTAAAACTAAAGCAATTGTGACTAGCATTGATTTTTATAATTTTTTCAAGTTAACAAGAATAAAGTAACAACATGCACATGATTGTATATAAATGCGTTAAATGTGGTGCTAATGTACGTAAAAAAAATAGGATAAAGAAAATCATTTATGAAGGATTTTAATTTTTTGTTCATAAATACTAAAAATGGCAATCCTGTATATAGAATCTGTAATATAGAATCCTTTTTTTACTTAGTTTAATTTTTTTATCCCCTTTTTTTTATTAAATTTAATTATTATTATTATTGATAATAATAGTGGCCAGTCACTAGAGGAAATGGTATATTGAAATCCTTATGTTGAAATCCAGTCAAAATTAGGTTATAGGCCCTTACCAAGCTCATTTTATTATATAAAATGCTTTTTTGAAACCCTTTTAGACAAAGTTTTGCATTAGTCTATCCCATAAGTTTTTTTCAACCAATTTTTATGCAGAGCAGCTAATGAGTGGCATAGAGGTCATATTTATATGAAATATTTTTGTATTATTTTTTCTTTTTTCCATATAGAAGTATTTGCGTCAATTGTTCAAAGTTACGCTTTTTATGATTTTTGACTAAATTTAGCGCAATTTTCAAGCATTAGCGTGAATAGATTCCGATGCCACACTTGATGATTTTTACTTTATTTTAGTATCACATGATGTTTTTTTTTAAACACTGCTATTGGAACCTTGGTCCAAACAAATCTAAATCCAAAATAGTTTTCTTAAAAGATTGGGTAAAGGATTTTTGACCTTTTGTTATAAACTAAACTTGATCAAAATGTATCAATGTAATTCAAAAATATATATACACATTTTTTCTGTGGTTATTTTAGGTGCTTCAAGAAAACCTAATAATCGCATCATAGAGCACCGCATTTAACTTAAAAGATCTCTTTTAAGTTAAATGCTCTTCTGCATTCATAAAGTATTATAAAATCTCTCAGCATTCATAAAATATTAACATATAAAGTTTAAATCCCCTTCAATTTGAGGGGGTTACACATTTTATATGGTTATAAATTTTAAACACTTAAAGATTATAGAAAACAATACTTCAATTTTATTAATGAATATAAATTTAGTTATGAATAGCAATAAAATTATTAAGTGAACTTGTTGCTCTCACATTTGCTCCCAGCCTCCAATCATTGCAACTTTTTAAAAATATCATGATTTGACATGAGTATAAACATTTAAATGTACGGATTTTGTTCTATGTTGATGTTTAATCTGGAACTTTGCTACAGAATTCAACTTTTAAACACTGCAAATGTACAATAAATACTTATATACATATAAATTTTCAGCTTAAGACAAATATCTCAAAAAAATATGTCAAAAAATAATTTTTAAATGTTCTTTTAGAGTTCAGAGTCTGCAGTTAGGTATCGCATCAAAATTCAAATTATTAAATCCATTTTAAAACGAGAAAACAAAAAAACAGTTGCCCTAGCTCCATTCTTAAATCACTATTTTTTTAACTCTTTGTTTAAAGTAGCTTTTGAAGCTACTTTAAACAATGCTCATCACACGCTCTATATTTTCTTGAATAAATTTTACTGTAAGCACAGCAAAATTGAATTTTTTTATTACAAAATGTTTTTCTTAAAACAAGAATAACGCTTCTTGTTTTAGGAAATAAATACCCTGCAATTTATTTTTAAAAACAAGAAATTTATTTCTTGTTATATACAAGTCAAGACTTAGTGGCTGGTCTGTATCATCAAAAACTGCTTTCAGAAGGATTTCAGTTTTGATTTTATATTCACCTACAAAAAGAGGAACAATTGAAATCAAATCAAACATCTTTAGAAAAATATCTATTAAAAACACATCATGATAAAATGGCCAAAGAAAGTCCAATAATTCAAGATCTGGTTGATTCTGGAAATGTAAGCAAATTAACTTACTAATTCAAATGAAACTATTCAAACAATTGAAAGATGGACTGAAACTCTTGCTAAGTTTTTTGTTTTTGTTGTAAACTTTTTTGTTCAAATCCTATTATGTTGACTCAAAATTGTGGTAATGATTGGCGCCATATTTCATGAATTTTAAAAAGACACTAAAAAAGCCTTGATCATTTTGACTGCTTCAGCAAGTGGATGGATCTAAAAAAAACATTACAAAAAGGCACTTTAATTGATAAAATTTCGGATAAAAACTATATTAAAGATATAGATCATTTGGACGATGTAATGAGAAGATTAATTTCCCTAACTATTATGATGGCAAAGCAAAATCCACCACTCAGAGGCTTTTGTGACCATGTCTATCAAGATAATAAAGAAAACTTTATAAAAATTTTAGAGTTTTCGACTGAAGTTGATCTAGTTATGGAAAAACATCTGTTGAGAGTAAATAAAAACAAATTCTGTGCACTATCTGGCAAAAGATATTCAAAATAAAATCATTGACTTGATTGGCAAATCCATCAAATTTAATTTGATTGGCAAATCAAGTGAAATTTAACACTTGCTCAAATCTTCGTGTATTTTTCAATTATTGTTGATTGTACACCAGACATCAGTCACCAGGCGCAAATGTCAATGCTGGTTCGATTGTACACCAGACATCAGTCACATGGCGCAAATGTCAATGCTGGTTCGATATGTTGATGCAGAGGGTAAGAATAAAATTTACATTAATGAAAGTTTTCTTGTGTTTCACTTAAATGTAGGTTCGACAGGACTTGAATTATCAAATGAGATTATTGACTCTGGCAAAAAATAATTTGTCATTGGAAAACATAAGAGGTCAGAGTAGACAATGATGCAAATATAAAAGGCTTAAGTAATGGTGTTTTATTTTACAGACTTTTATTCTTCAAAAAAAACAGTTAAGCAGTTTATATTCTATGTAGTCACTCATTAAATCTGGTAGTTGTTGATTCTATGAGATGTTCACCTAAAATTGTTATGTTTTTTTTATATAATTGATCAAGTTTACATTTTTTTCTTCCGCTTCAACAAAAAGGTTAATTTTGCAATCCAAATTTCCATCTTTAACTCTTTGATTTGAAATGCCAAAAGTTTTGCAATTTGAAAAATTGCAAAAATCACAGCAGAGTCTATTGCTTTAAAAATAACATGCTTCGATTTTTTGTGTTCAAGTTTGGCATAAACTTTTATTCGAAATTAATTTAAATAGAAATCAATTTCAATCAGCTTTAACAAATATTTTAAAAGCTCTGAAAAGAAAAATTTTTTTATAGAAAATTACAAACAGTAAAAATGTGACTGTTGTGTGTATTGCACAAGAACTTGCTTCTTTTTTAAAGGTAGAAGAAAGTTTTGCTGCAGAGTCTGCGTTAATAGTAAGAAAAAAAAAGAAGTTTTTTGATGAACCTGAAGAAAGCTTTAAAAAACAATTCAAAAGAAAAAAATAAAAAAGATATATTTAATAAAATATTTAAATGTGCTACTATTGCAATAGAAGATAGATTTAATGTTTTTAATGCTGGAATTGCACCTTTTAGCTTTTTAATTGATACTAAAAAGCTCTTAACAGTTAAGGAAGATGATTTGAAAGTGGAAAATAAAATGATATTTTTGGCAAGGAACTAAGCTTTGAATTAACATTTTTTTTCTTCTCATTTTACTAAAAGTTTTGATTCTGAAAAGGTTATAAAATATTTGAATGGTTTTAAATGATTTGAATAAAATCTAAGCAAATGTATTTATTGCATTGGTAATTCTTCTCACATTACCACTAATAGCAAAACCTCTTGGCAATTTAATAATCAACATATAACATATAACAATGTTATATGTTATATGTTGATTATTAAACTGATAATAGTTTATAAATAACAAAAAAAAAATTTAATTCAAATAAAAAAATTTTAATTTAAATTTTTGTGTGGCAATTTCGCTAAACATAAAAATTTAACAAAGAATTAAATATTTATGTTACTTAATAAAATTTATTATTAAAATTTATTATTATTATTATTAAAAAAATTTGTTATTATTAAAGTATATTAAAATTAATCTATTAAAAAATTATTTTATTCATTTAAATATACAAAATATTCTCTATAAAACTTTATTTATTTCATGTGTTTTGCCTGATTTTAATCTAGTAATGGACATTTGCTCATTTGTAAAATCTCACAAATGCCATGAGGGAATGGTAATTTTATTTTATTTAAATGTTAATATAAATACACTAACTTTGTTTCGATTAATGTAGAAATGTCATGCAACATTTGTAAAATGTTTTATACAATTAAGTTGTTGGTTGTTGTTTTTGTTTTGTTTTGTTTTTGAAAGCCACGATCATTTTGTGGATTTTTTTTTTAATGCTAGAGAATGTTTTTGTATTAAAACCCAATTGTTGCAAAACTGTAAAACATTTCAACAACTTAAACAAAGAACTTGAAGACTAAAAAATTCAAGTTTTCACTAAACATTTATTTTTTAACATCTAACCAAATTATGTTTTAACATCTTTGCAACACCCTAGAAAGTAATAAAAGATAGAGCTTAGAGACAAATAAAACGTAATTATAATGATCAACTTACATCAATTAATACAAAATTATTTTTTGACACACTAATTTTATATTAATTGTATTCTTTGTATTTGTCTTTTTTTATACGTCCGTAATGTTCACTAAACACCCAATTACAAATAAAAATTCTGAACATCAGAAAAGCAACAATTAAAATGGTGTTTTCACACACAGAAAAAGAAAAAGAAAAGAAAAGATCAAAGAAAAATAAAACAAAAAAGAAAAGAAAAAGAAATTCGAATAAAAAAAACAAACAAACAAACAAACAAACGAAAAACACTTACCTAATTATAAATAGAGTTAAAGAAACAAAAGAAAAAATAAGGGTCACCAAATAAAAAAGAAAGACAAGAATAAAAGAAATAAATAAACCATTTGTATAAAGAAAGAAATCATAAAGCGCAAAGTTCGAAAATTTGAATCAAACAAAGAAAAAAAAAAGTTATTTTGAAAAAGACAAAGAAAAAGATATTATTTTAATTTTGAAGTTGTTGTATTTATTATTAATTTATCTGTTATTATATTGCTTATTATTAGATAAACTATATTATATTTACTATATTTTTTAAAAAACTATATTTAATTTACTTTAAACTATATTATTATACTATATTATTATACTATACTATTTAATCTAGAATTATTTGTATATAGCTATATTATTTACTATGTTTATTATCTATAACTATATTTATTATCTATATCATTTTCATTTATGTTAATCGTAATTAGTTGATATATTTTTTATTATTTTATAACAAACCTAATTTTATTTAGTTTTGATATATATATATATATATATATATATATATATATATATATATATATATATATATATATATATATATCTTAACTGTTACTTATTTTTAATTATTATTGTTATATTTATTTTTAATTATTATTAATATACTTATTTTTAATTATTATTGTTATAAATTTTTCTTCTTCTTCTTCTTCTTAGCTTTTGTTTATTCTATTTTACTTTTTAATGATGGTAGTGAAACAACCATGCGGCATATGCTTTAAGGTGATTGCTAAAAATCATTCCGCAATTCAATGTGACCTATGTGACAAATGGATACGCATAAAATGTAATCGAATTGACAAACTAACACATGAAAAAGTCAAAACTTTAAATACTTGGTCTTGCCTAATCTGTACAAAAACATTTCTTCCATTCTCTAACATTTCGGATTTTGAGTTATCTACCATACTTGCTGGAAAGTCACTGAAATTCAACAGGGTAAAAAATCTATCTGAAAATACAAATTTAAAAAAACTTTTTGGGGACTTCAATGACTTATCTTCCACCTCAATTAACTGTGAATTTGTAGATGTTCCTATGTACAATAAATTGTCCCAAAATTCTTTAAATTATTTCCATATAAACATACCTTCATTAGCTTATCATATTGATGACTTTAAAATACTATTAGCATCTTTTGACAATTTACCTGATATCACTGGGAATACTGAATCTAACTTGTACGATAACAATCTCTCTATAACTAACGTTGAATAAGAAGGATATGTATCTGTTCACACGCCAACTAAAGCTAAAAAAGGTGGTGTTTTAATGTATATTAAGTCTAACGTTAATTTTAAAATTAGATCTGAATTAGTCCTGCTTAAAGGTAAGGAACTCGAATCTATATTTATTAAAGTTATAAATTTAAGAAAAAGCAGTCTAATAGTGGGTTGTTTATATCACCATCCATCAATGTGTCCAACTGATTTTGTTGATTACTACCTAAATCCACTTCTTGAGAAAATTAGCTTTATATCTCCCATTAGCATAAACTTTTTTTAAAATTAACCAAAAAAAGTTTATGCTAATGGGAGATTTTAAATTTGACTTGCTCAAATACAATACCTCTAAGTACAATACCTCTAAGTCTCAATTTTTTTTTTCCTTTTATTATACAACCTACACGCATAATCACCCATTCTAAGACAATAATTGATAACCTTACCGCTTCAATATCTGATCATTTATTCAGCTGAATTTATTCAAGAAATTTCAAATGTTGAATGGGATGACCATATAAACGACGACGGTGATGTTAACGAATTTATTAAAAAATTAATTGAAATATTTAATCGTATCTTAAATAAACATGCTCCTTATAAAAAGTTTACAAAAAATCAAGTAGTTAAACGTAATCAACCTTGGGTAACGAAAGGCATTCTCAAGTCAATAACAATTAAAAATAAACTTCATAAAAATTATTTAAAATCAAAAAACTGTAAAATAAAAAATATATATTTTAAAAAATTTAAACACTATCGTAATAGTATAAGCACTTTCTAAACTGGTGTCAGCAACTCTATGTAAACCAATTAGTATCATTTTAAACAATTCATTTCGCAAAGGAATATTTCCCGATGCCTTTAAGCTAGCTCAAACTATTCCGATTTACAAAAAAGGATCTACAATTGACTGCACTAACTATCGTCCAATATCTCTTCTTTCTAACGTAAACAAAATATTTGAAAAAGTTATGCATAATAAACTATACAACTTTCTAAACCAAAATCAATGCTTATATAAACACCAGTTTGGTTTTCGTAAAAATTATTCGACAGCTCACGCTCTTATTGAAATTACAGAAAGTATAAGAGCTGCTGTTGATAATGGCAACTTTGCTTGTGGAGTTTTTATCAATTTGCAAAAAGCTTTTGACACCGTAGACCATGAAATTCTCCTCTCAAAGCTTAACTATTACGGTGTACGTGGCATATTCTTGCAGCCGTTCAAATCATACCTTTCTGATCGTCAACAGTTTGTAACTATGAATGGAACCAGCTCAGATATTAAAAACGTTTCAATTGGTATACCTCAGGGATCCATATTAGGTCCACTACTCTTTGTTATCTATATTAATGATCTTAATCTTTCTATTAAACATTTAAAAACGTATCATTTTGCTGATGATACTAATCTTCAATTAATAACAAACTCTCTCAAAAAACTTAATAAATATATTAATCAGGAGATGGCCAGTCTTGTTCAATGGCTTAGAGCAAATAAAATCTCATTGAATACTAAAAAATCAGAAATAATTATATTTAAGACTCAAAATTCTAACTTTTCTAAGAAGACTAAGAAAAATATTCTAAAATACTTGAACTTTCGATTAAGTCGTCAAAAAATGTACTTGTCTAGTAATATAACTTATCTTGGTGTTGTTTTAGATGAAAAACTTTCATTCAAAACACACATATCCGACCTTACTCTGAAGTTAAGTTGTTCCAACTGCGTGTTAGCAAAAATTCGACATTACGTTAACTTTGAAACATTGCTCTCTATATATCACTCAATTTTTGGTTCACATTTACGATACGCATGTCAAGTTAGGGGACAATCTAAATTCGTATGTCTCTCTAGAATTGTTTCACTTCAAAATAGAGCGGTACGGATTATTCATTTTTGTCCGAGAAATTTTCCTACTGACATCCTAAAATCTGGTCTCATCCATAGGTTCAAGAGTCTGTTCTTAAAGTCACTCCATCATTTCTACCTAAAAGGTTACGCTTAACTTTACTTTTTACTTTTCTTTCTTTCTACCTTTTAACTTATTTTTTCTTTTTATTATAGTTTATTATTTTATTATAATTTTATTTTTAATATTTTATGTTAAATTATAATTTTTACTATAATTTACTAATTTTATTATAATTCTTGTTAAAGTATATGTGCATATATAAATTTACATTATATTAATTATGTTATATATATTCGAAATAAATTTTGATGCAATTTTACTTTTTCATTATATTAATTATGTTATATATAACTAAATAAATTTTTATGCAATTTTACTTTTATTAGTTAATATTATGTTATTTAACTTTTTTTTATAACCTATTTTTTTATGTGGTTTTACTTATTACATATTATTATTATTATTGTTATTATTAATTTTTATCTTATTTAGGTCATTACGCTTTATTAGTGAATCACTATTTGCAATGACCTGTGTTTTTGTAACATCTGTAACACGAAATATATTGTTACTGTTTTGTTTGTTTTTTTGTTTGTTTTATATTGGTTCATTTGTCTTGTCGTTACGTTTATTTAATTTAGGTAAATGTTTTATTTTATATTTGTTATATGCGAGTTATAATTTTATCACTTTTTGTTTGTTGATAGGTATTAATAAAGTAACTTATAATAATTTAAATATTTTTTCTGTTATTAATCCGGACATCTCTAACAAAGGTGAATATCAAGATATAGAAAAAGCAACAGCAACTAAATTCACAGAGAAAAATGCAAAAAAAAATACATTCAGCATTTTTTATATACATAAATACATGACATTTAAACAATGTACAAAATTAATTAAAATTGTTCTTTTTAATTTCTTTCCATTAAATATTGGTGGTTTAAAAAATTTTATTTCTAATTTATTATTATCCATTTTCAATGACTTTTTTCTTTTAACTTTGTTTTTATTTGTTTCGGTTTTTTTTTTCTTGTTTTTTTTTTTTTTTTTTTTTTTTATTTTAATCTTGTATTCTTGTTTATACACTTATTTTTAAACTTTTATCAAAATGTTTTTTGAGTTTTTTTTTTCTTTCTTTTTTTATTTTTATTTTTCTTTTTTTTTTTAAT